TTAAATTTGCTGGTAATCTATTTAAGGATTTTTGTAGTAAAATGTCTGTCAGCGAAACCTATTTTTACTTTATGTCTCTGGGTGGAATTTAATAACTTTATCCTAGTAAATGACAGTACATCTTTAAGTATTCAAATAAATAATTAAAATATATTATTTTTCGCAAGTCATAAAATATCCAACATTCACAATATATTTTTATATCACAATGGTACAAAGACAAATCAAGAAATGCACTTCATTTGTGTATTCAAAGACTGACAATACTTACTTGGCGATATGTAGTCGCGAGGTTCTAGTTCACCATGCAAACATTTGGGATACAGGTGAGTGTCATGGACATGAATTCCTCTCACATGGTTGTAAATGCTCTGAAACTTCTGTTTTCGTAGTTCACCATCTCTGTCAATGTTGTCAGTTTCAGGAGTGGTGCAGGCTATCCAGTACACCATGTTTATTATGGATTGAGTCCACCTGCCTATGATACCACAGTCTTTCTGTTTACTAACTTTAAGAATCTGCTTTCTTATTCCTGTATAAGTATCAAAGAAAACAAATATTTTGACTTAATGGTGAAAATAAGTGTAGTGAAACAAACATGTTTTCATTTAACACATTATTGATCAATTACTAAACAGTTATTTTAGTAATTAGCAAAAGCTTAGAACTATTTAGCAGGTAATCACTTTTTGTTCAAAAGATTCTTTTATTGTCACTAATGGAAAAATTCACAAGTAAAAATATTCTTTCTGATGCTTATACAAGTATACTCTAAATATTTTGTTTGTTGTAGTAGTTGTAAAACCAATCTTTGTAAAAAGACTGAAATGAGGTCTGTCAATAAATGAAACTGGAACAATTATTCTTATTATAAAATCATTACATTACAATAATGAGGATGCTGCTTACCTTTGGCAATATGCCAAACATCAAAGTAATGGATAATTGTTTTGACAGTATCTCTTAGATAGGCAGCCACACTGCTATGGCGATCGGACACAAATCTCTTTATTTCAACCCCATGTCCTCTTAGGACTGCAAGAGCTCTTTTCAACCCCTCTAACTCCATCGATGAAGAGTTGGGGCATTCATCTTTCTGTTAAAAAACCAAATTTTGAAAGACCACTTGTGTAAATTGTTTAGGTTTTGAATGGAAAAAACATACAGCAAGTCAGAAACCACAAGTCTGTGAACTCTGTGGTGAACTGTTAATGATAGTTTACATCATTGTATTCTCTAATCTCTAGTGTAAGATTCAAATATTCAAAAATTTGTATCTTATATAGCAAATTTTGATCGGAGCCTTCGGAATCCTAGTCGAGGTTCAGAGGCTAAATTAGAAAATGAATAAACTCAACACACCTGAACAACTTCAATGTGCATCACTTTCTGTGAGTCGGCATTTATTATCGTGTATGTTCCATACTTTGCAGTATGGCCTGGACTGTCACACCGCATGTCCCCTGATGCATTAATTTCACTTTGAAAGTTATCTTCTTTTTGTGCAGCAAAGATACAAGATGTTGCTGGCAGCAAATACCTGAATCATAATTTGAAACTGTATATTGTTATCTCTTCGTCATGATTGACATATAAACAAACATATTTTGTTGAAAGTCAATACATTTTGGTCTTGCGGCAATGCCATAAATATATATAAATTGTGAATGTTAAAGAAGAGAAATTTGCGAGTGTGAACAAAACTGTGTTCCAACTGTGATTTGAAATAGGGAACTTCTGCTGCCTATGCAGACAGCTTAACCAACACGAGCCGTTGGGGTCCATTTGTAATTCAGATCTGAATAACTCAAATAAATATTGTACAGTATTATATATTGTGCTTACCATTTCTGATGATAGAAAAAAGTCCTGTCACTAAATACAGCAATGTTAATGAATCTTAAAGCTCTCAGCAACTTTGTAATACAAGACCCTGAAGAGAAATTTGTAGAAATTACAAGTTATTTTAGAAAATATTATACTGAAAAACCTTTTTTTGGTTATCAATAAATCAAATGATTCATAAACATAATTTTAGATTCAAACAAATAACAATAGAAACACTGCACCTGAAACAAGGATAGCTGCAGATAACAATATGTTAAACAGGAACAGTTGTCCATGTCTGGGCTGATTGCACCACTCGTAAAAGAAACCACAATTTCGGTTTTTACATTTAGACATTATTTCAACTGCTGTCCCACATTCTCTCTTTATTCCTCTTTCTGTTGGACCTCCACATTCTCGACATCTGTCAAATAAGCTCATTAGTTCTTCTTGGCCTACAATATATTTTTTTTGTTCACGTACAGTGGCTGATGGTGA